ATGAGTAATCTTAAATTCAATATAATAATACAAACACATGGCCGCAAAATTGATTCCTCGCACAATCTTGTTTACATCCTTGATGATTAGTTCGCTTAACATAACCGTTTTCATCAATTTGCGCTCTGCCACCGTTAGCCTTAATGGATTCATCCTGACATTCACAACAATCTGATTTACACCTTAAAAATTCAAAGTATATTATTGCGTTAATTGACGATCTTAGATTTTAAATAGTATCAAGAATACATTTTGAATCTTACGGGTGACCGCATTCTGGAATTTGAAATCCACAATTCTCTCGGCACTTTACGTAATTAATCGGCTTGTGACACTAGTAAGATAATGAGAAGTTAGATTCATTAACAATATAATATGAAATTCCAAGATAACGCACGCACATTCACAATAGCCACATGTTCGCAATTTACTAAATAGGAAAAGAGACCAATGTTTTTGTCAATTTGATAAAAATTGTTAAACAAACGAATAGTCATGAAAATTTGTAATGTAATGATTACGCAGTTTTTTGGGGACTTTGGTTTTGCATAGGACACGCCCTCGATTATGACTCTGATGGCATACCGCATTTTCTAAAATATGGCCACAGGGTAGCTCGATATCACCAACTGGAAAATTGCATTCTCCACATTTTTCTCCGCACAAACGCTTGCCTATAGACATACAGTTTATATAATTTAGTTATTGATACATAGTTAATTAGTTTAACTATTCCTAACTTACAAGGATGGCCACATTCATGCAAGCGGTTACATTCCTTCTTGCAGAAAATAGAGATGTGACTACATAGTATGACTCGAAAATTAGATGTCAGCTTTAATCGGTTAAAACAAATTAATACCTCATGATACGAACTTAGGATCATCGGGGTGACATTTATATGGACCTGTGGCGATAATATAAAGACTTTATAAACATCACATTTGTCTTTTCGAACTTAACCTCATAAAACACTTACAAATATGACCACAATTAAGAGCTCTCCCACAGCTAAGCGTGCATCCTCCGTCAGGAGATATTTCTCCGAACTTTTTGGGATCAGTGATGATGTTTTTATGATTGGGATGCCGTGCACATACAATTGGGAATCCGGGACCAATTTGCGGTGGCTGACGGGATTCGAGAATATTGATCACGTCGGCCCATATCTCTGATTTATTTTTCATAAGCTTGGCGTTACCAATAAGATACATTCCATGTCGAGCCCTCGAAAGCAAAACATTTGTTCTATTTCTTGACTTTAGGAAGCCAATGGACCCTCCATAATTTTTATTCGTGATATTTCTGACGAGCGAAATGATAACGATGTCCGCCTCTTCGCCTACACGAAATAAATAAAATCATATTATACAATATCCATCTAAAGAAAGACTCCATGTTGTAGGCAGTTGGCTTAAATTTGATAGCAAACCTTGAAAGTTGTCGATAGTTCGTAGCACGACCTTATAAATAATAATATAAATGTTAAAAAAATTCCATTTCAAACATTATGACTTAAAAAAAAAAATGCTTTTTCATAATTAGACCTGTTGGTTTAATCTTCTTTTAGATGCTGTGCTCATCTTCTCGGCTTTAGGCGATGGTTCTTGCTGATCGTTGTCTTTCATTTGATCTTGGAATTTAACAAGATCATCACTATCACGTTCATCTATTACAACCATGAATGAACTTGCTAACGCGTCTCTTATTTTTAACAATTGTCCTAGAATCGATTTAAAGGAATATTCATTGCATTTTGAAAATAATATTCTCTTGGTTTTCTTATATACAGTATATAAAAATAATTACCAACCTAAATACGGCGTAAGGACTGCAATTTGTTCGGCTTTTGTATATCCGTTTCTAACAAAGTACTATATTGCAATTTGATAATGTTTGGTTTCAAATTCTAATTATATAAAAAGGAATTATCTATTATTTGTCTATTTACCTTTACCATTTCAACAATCATTTTAACTTCAAATTCATTAGAATGAGACTGAAGAGCAAACTCGCTCCTCATCGGATCTTCGGGATTTTGGTGGTCAATGAAGAAAACATTAGATTGAACACCATGAACGTTAGGATATAACAATGTTTCATCATGATCTTCCAAGTCTGGGTAGATCGTATTCCTGACTAAGTCTGCAATTTCTCTCCTCATACGTCGCTGAGTTAAAAGTTGCGTGGCTTCCACCTTCGTGCAAGAATTCTTCCCATGTACAAGACGTTCGAACAAACTAACATCCAAATCATAGTTCTTTCCAATATCCGAGTCGATGGACAAATCATGCTAAGAAAAAAGAATGTGAATATGAGAGGCTGTAATGTGAATACACTGATGTATTATGTAAGGTATCTTACGGTGCCTACGCAAATATTAAAAAAAAAGATTAATAACGATAAAATACATAAAGCCAAAATAACAAAAGGTAATCTCGATAATTACAAATCTTAGGACGCAATTGATTATGATCACCTATAAGAATAATTTGTTGTATCGAGGGTGTCAGACTACTTAGAATATGTGCTTCTAGGACTTCACCTAATAATTATATGATTGATGATCATTAAAGAATATAACAAAGCATTACATTATTAATAGATTGCGTGAAAGTAGACGTACCAGCTTCTTCGCAAATGATGATTTTGGGCGCAATTGACCTTAATGTACATTTTGAATCTTATTTTTACTTCAACCTAGTGAGATACGACTTAATAAATGAAAAAAGAATGTAATTTACCTGATAAGGTCGTGGTGCTTTGCAGCGCCGCTTGTAGTTACACCAATAACATCACATTTACTTAGAATATTACGTCGTTCTTCAATTAAAAGTCGAATGTAAAAACAATGATCTATCACTGGGATGAACATTTACTATAGACGCAATGACAAAAATTTGTACTCACTTTCGTTATATATTTTTTCAATTTCGCCTCTAATTTTGTCGTGTGACTTTCTTATTCTTGCGAGCTCTTTGACAGACTCCGAATGAAGTTCTTCTCTCCAAAAATCATGCAAAATCACACGCTCCGCTTTTGACATATTCCAAACATCATAAACATCCTAATTATCGGAAAATTCATGGTAAATTTCTAGATCATATTATATATTTAATAGTAACTTTTAACAGATTCGATACTTTTAATTCATCCAAACTCCTTGTACTTTTTGGCATCCTCCACGAACTAAGCCAGTTTAGGAATTTATGATCTTTTTCGTCAATATAATCATAAATATCTAAAGCATCTTCTTCTTTTTCGCTTACACCTGAGAGTGGTTCATATTTGTTTTCATGAAAATATTCTTTGTTCTTAAGTTTATTTTGAAGTTTTTGTTGTAACATTTGAGCCTCCTGTAAGTCTAACCCACGAACCCATTGTTCAAAGATCGATGCTTTTCGTTTGCTGCTGCCAACTTTCTTCCACACTCCATCTCCTTTTTTCCCATCTTCGTCATTTAATCGACTTTCTTCGATTCTGTCAATTAATAATAGGGCCTCCGGAATATTGGGGTTCTGTAAGTTTTTATAATGCTCGGGAAATTCATCCATCAAATAAGATGTGACTGACGGAAGATTCCAATCGATCCATCGAAGTGTTTGACGCTCCGTAATTTTTTTCGCCTTTTCTTCAATTTTCTCAAGTTCGCTATAGGAACGTCCTAGCAATGATCTAAGTCTCTGATCTTTATTCCTACTGCAAATCGCATCGATCTGATATTCCCCGATGGTTTCTGATTTTGACCGTGAGCCCATCCGAACAAAATTCTTTATGTTATGGTCTAATAGACCTAAGAATTATTACATGGAAGTTGGTAGATTAGAAATGTAGATAATTTTTAATCAAGCAAATAAATGAATATAGCAAAGAAATTACTTAATAAAAATGAATCCAACGCATGGTTGGTATAGGTAATTGTAAGGATTGGCCCTACTTTACTGATTTTACGATTTTTTTTTTCAAGTAATACGCGCATAATCTGAACACCAATGTATGTTTTTCCGGTTCCAGGAGGTCCTAATAATTAGAAATTTTCTGTACGTTTAGGGAAAGTCACATGAGTAACGGCAATGACGATATCTACCTTCAATCAATGCAACTTCGCGACTTAGAGCTGAAACAAGTGCTCGAGCTATTTTTTTTTTTTTAATGGATTACTATTGCTGAAAAAATCAAGTTCCCATTAATATTCCATTTTAAAATAAATTACCTTGAGTTTTATCTAGTGAACTGTATGTTTTAAGATCTTCGATAACATTATTTTCTGGTTGCAAGTGTTCAAAATCCAAAAGTAATTCTCTGTTTTTATTTTTGAGCAAAACCGAAAGCTGTTGAAAGACATTAATTAATATGTGACCTATAATGAAGATTAATAATGTAATTGAATCCAAAAAATTTACATCAAAATTGAAGCCAGGAGCCCTAGAATAGATAGGAGAGTCAACTTTCGTGACCTCATCGAACATGTCGTTGTCTATTTGTGGAGCAAAATATTTTGCGAAGGGGAAATTTTCAGGTCGTGCTTCTTGTAGAGTTTTCAAAATACTGCGATAACTTTCGAAAAGAAGATCCGTCGACTCAATCATAAAACGATGTTTAACTATTTTGTTAGAGGAATGTTTGCTCAAGATGTCCTTTATAGCAATCGAATAAATGGCAACATCTATGAAATTAATGTCAATTTTCGCGCTTTCTTCTGCTAACATATCTTCATTTCTACTGGCAACTGTGCCAAAATACAATGAATAATCTTTTGCGCTAATAGTCTTTTTTCCATTGTCATAAGCATCTTCATTTGGCCAAAGGAGACAAACCAGATTTCCGTGCATAAGTCTTCTGACCTTTCCCCAGTATGCTTTGCGCTCTCTGGCTGTTTGTTTACTGATCGGCGGAGTAAATGCAATTCGACAAGAAAAACCTTTATGTTTGTCTATAACAATCTCAGAAAACTCCACATTGGTGTAAACGTTTAAATCTCGATTATTTCCATATCTTCCACCTTGTGTCTTAAGTTTCTGAATTTGCGCATTGTTTTCATCTGTTTCGCTAAGAAAGGTAATGAAGCTGTTGATGCTTAAACGAAAAGCATTGAGCATATCTTCCCTGAGCAAGCGAAATTGCCTGTCGAGAAGACGAGAACTACCCTTGGGCAAGTGATGCGTATCATCGTCTTCATCAATGCCAGGTAAAAAAGGATCGCGTTCGCATAAAGTTTCTTCCCTGGTAGGAATGATGGATATTTTGGAAATTTCACTAAAATCGTTATCGTGACGTTTTCCATTCGGTGAAAGTTCCCCTTTAGAACAGAAAAAAAATAATAAAAATCAATTTAACTGTAATCATGACTACAATAAAGAAAGGCGTATAATATACAAACCTGGAGGGTCATAAATTCTTCGTAGGTCCATTAATATCGATTTATTACGGTAAGAACCGATAACACGTTTAGATAATAATTTTCGAGGTGATAAATCATTATCTGGTTTTTCTAACATCATCTTCATATTATCGATGTCTTTATTTAAAATCATAAAAAAATATTCTCGGCACTTAATGTCAGCGAACAGGTCAGATGAGTTAATCTGCTGAACCAATGATTCATGCCATTCATCCTTCAATCTTTCAAGTTTCTCGGCTATTTGATGAATAGTTTCATTGTAAGATGCATTTTTTATGCGCTTTAAAAATTCGTTAATCATTCGAACAATAACCAAAAAAAATTGCCCCAACCTAAATAATATTGTAATTTTAGCATATAACGATGTCTTCAAGATAGGAATTATGATCATACATACGATGTGGGAATAAATGCATGCGGATCGTCAATAAGTAGCTCATTTTGACTAACTAGTTGATCAGATATTTTTTGTCTTTTAACCAACTCTTGAAGCATAGACATTACGCTATCATTAATGAACGAATCCTATAAACAATAGAACAAACATACGGTATTAATGGTTTGATAAATTAGGCCAATGTTTGAGATCAAATAAACATCAAAATAAATACAGTATAACAATACCAAGTTATTATAGACAACAGCATAAATCGCATTAACTTGCATATCAAGGATACATTCGATTATTCCACTACGAGTTAAAAGTGCCAAAAAAGGCAAGATTACTCGTTGAAAAGATGCAACTTTAGCTTGCTCTCCTGCGTCTACCGAAGCTGGTGACATCACAATCTCTCTGATCCTATCTATTCCGTCCGGCGAACTCAATTCTTCTACAAGAGCATCCAATTCATAGCCTACTTTCTTGGCATCTACAATACATGATGTTATGAATCGCCTCATCTGGTGCTGGTTGTTAAATTCTCTGCAGATCTGTCGTTTCCATGATCCTTTATAATTTTCTCCATGAGGAACGGAAACAACCATATCGCTCCCATTATATGATAGCGCAGATGAATTAAACCCATTGGAGATTGCTTTGAATTGTTCGTTTTGTACTTCCTCAGGACGTGGAAGGGGTACTACTGGCCTTTTATGGCCTCTACTAAAATTTTGTGAACGGGAATTGATTCTTCTACTATTCATATTTTCAAGATTTTCAAATTGCTAATTAATATGGTTATAAGAACTTGAACTAACTACAGCAAGAATGATATACTGTATTTATACTCATTCGGAAAAACAAGCCGCTATTGTCCCCAAAATTGGAATCTATAACCAAGCCTACATTGTATTCTTATATAGTATGATCACGCTGATCTAACTTCAGCATGTGTCAAACTTTGCGATCGCATACGTAATTTAATATCAGTACCATGCGCAGTGTCGATGCATTGAAATTTCCCACAAAACAAATGATTGGTTACTGTACAATTATTGGAACAAATTGTTAGAAGATTTTGTTCCAATGATCGTAATATCAAAACTCAGAAATAACATTAATAAAAACTGTTAATATAAATTTAAAATAAAAAGTATCGCATATCGTTCCATAAAGTATCCTTGATACAAAAAAACGCCTCATGCTGACTTTAAATGGTGTTCTCCTGGGTATTATGTAATATAAGATACTATTAATAAAGGATACTGTGTAATAGTTATATACAGAATGAGTCACAGGGGGTTTTTTTTTTAAAAAAAAAAATATCATAAACAATTTATTTATAAAAACTTTTTATTAAACTATCTTATAAAAAAAAAAAAACAATTATATTTATAAAAACTTTTTATTAAACTATCTTATAAAAAAAAAATAAACAATTATATTTTTAAAAACTTTTTATTAAACTATCTTATAAAAAAAAAAAACAATTATATTTATAAAAACTTTTTATTAAACTATCTTATAAAAAAATTTCCGGTAAAAATTTTTCAAAAGATTTAAAGAAAATAAATTTCAATCTTTACATAAAAACAAATAAATTTTTATGAAGTAGTGAAAAAAAAAATCAATTTTTTTTATATCAATATTTTTATTAAAAAATTTAAAAAATTCCATGTTCAAAAAAGAAATTCAAAGAATTTTACTACAAAATTTATAAAATGATCTAAAATAATTTTCTTTTTAAAATTATAAATAAGCTATTTATAAAATTTTATATAAAATAAATAACTTTCTTATTATATAATATTGAAGAAGCTTTAGTAAGTATTGGTTAGAAACTATAGAAAAAATTTAAAAAAAATTTAATAAAATTAAATGAAAAATTATTTAATATATTATATACAGTATTATTAATACAGAATATTTATATATCCTCTGATCTTAAAAATCTTTAAATAAAAATAAAGGGGTCAAACTTTACAATTGAACTAATATTAAAAAACCTAATTACAAAAGTTTAAAATAAAATAAATAATCTAGTTCAAAACTTGATAATTATTTGCAAAACTACTTTAAATTTTTAAAAAAATTTAAGAAACTAATATAAAAACAAATATACTATAATATTATAATAAAAATAAATTCAAAATAAATTCAAATTTAAAATAAAAAAAACTTTAAAATATTCAAATTATAAAAGATCTTAACTTTATTATTCAACTTTATTAACAAAATATGCTTTAAATTATAACTTAAAATTTTTAATTTAAAATATATATTAATAAAATAAATTAAACTAAAAAATTAATATATAAATTTATAAAATATAATTAATAATATTAAAATAAAATAAAAACTCTTTTTCATTTCCTTTTCTACACTTGAACATTTTCTTTTTAGGAAACTTTTGAGTTGTTTACTTTTTTTTTGTTTCTAACTTCTTATTTTATTTTCTCTTTCCTATTGTTAACATCTCTCTTGATGAGTCTGTTACTTCTCCAGAACACTCCTCACATAACGTTGATAAGTGTTCAGCTTCTTTACTTGAGACATATGAATTGTTTAGTTGAGTTCCATCAACTCTTTCCTTCTCTTTCCGTTGTTGCTTCTCTTGACAAATCTTTATCACTTTTCCCTTTGTGATCCTAAGCATTCTATTTGCGACAAGTACTAGATTAGGTAAGTTAATTAGTTTTACTCCTTTTGGAAATGACTATCACATGTCCTAATTAAAAAGGTTTTAATTTAAGGAATAGTTCTTCTTATTTGTATGGCCTCTTTCTTCTTTTTACAATTTTCTCTCCTATTTATATCATAAGATGACAAGGAAACTATATCTTTTTTTTTTAAATTAAACTATCAATAAAAAGTCTATTCTAAACTCTAATTATTGCATTATTGCTTATGCAACCCCACTAATTATGTCCAATTTTCAGGATATACGATGCATCAGATCACATATAATAGCCATGCCCTATGCAATTTTCCTGCCAATACTATGCTCTTTTTTTTTCTTCTTCCTTTATTCTTTTCCTCTTTTTTACAAACTCCATTTTACATATTCTTTTTTTTTCTTCTATTTTTTTTTTCATTGAAGCGAGGTTTTTCCTTCCTCTTAAAAATTTTTTCTCTTTAGGTTTCTTTCTTCTTTCAATATGTTGTCTCTTATCTTATCACTTTCCTGACTAGTAAACTTTCTTCTCTCAGAAATCATATAAGAAACAGCAAGGTTTTTATAGGATATAAGCTTTAGAAATTTTTTTCTTTCATAATTTTTTAGAAAAATAATAGACAATTTATCTTCTCCAAAAGATTAATATAGTTATTATTATTTAATATAATATTGTTTACTTGTTAATAGTTAGATTAAATATATCTAAAAAACTGATATATAACTATTGTTATTTGAAAGTATCCAAGAAGTTGCATTCTATTGTATTTAGAATGATATAGTAGCCAATATCAATGTAGATAACAATAAGCTAGGTTCATTTGCAAGTATTATGCTAGTGATTGAAGAATCTAGTAAAATAATACATAAAGATTAAGGATTCTAGTTATTCTCACAAAACGAGCTAGTAATGACAACAAAAGTTCTTCACTTATCCTCTTACAATATAGATTTTTTTGTATAAGATTAGATATAAGTACCTTTAAGAAATCTCAAAACAAAACCTTACCTATGGAACATTTTGCCATACTTGAAAAATAGATATCAAATCCTTCTTATAATTTGGAAACAAATCTATATAAAGTGGTTGCAGTGCTTTTATATAAAAAAATAATTATAACATAACCATTCCTAACACTACTTTGCCTGCTAAACATTAAGCCACATTTAAGAAACAAATGTATCAGTTCTATTTATAACTTGAAGGCAAATTTATATAAAGTAACTATAGTATCTTTATGTAATTAGGTATTCAATTAATTTCTAGTTAGTTAGACACTATTCAAAACTATAATATAGGTTTTAACTTTATTTTTTTTTATATTTCTTGAGTAGTGTCATAAAGCTTAAAGTGTGGCTCTTCATAGGTCCTGCATTTAATTGTTCTTAGCAAAAAAAAATATATATTATATTAATCATGTTATAAATCTTATAATCACAAGTCTAAAATTATAATAATAAAATAAAGCATGATAGCCATTTGCTTTTTTAAAAAAAAATATTAAAATAAAAAATAAATTAAATTAAACTATTATATTTACTTTGTTAAAAAAAATTTATGATAATTTTAAGCAAGAAAAAATATTTTACACTTTTTATTATAAGTAAACTTTAGCTTAAGAATCCAAAAACCTTCAAGACAACTGGTATAATAAAATAGGATCTCTAATCAAAGTCTATTTATATTTGGAAGTCATGCTTATTTTGAGGTTATATAAAAAAAGACTTATAGTAATTTTTTTTTGTTTTTTTGTATATATTCTTATTTTTATTATATTATAAAAATCATTTATATTAATACTATTATACTTGTTAAACAAAATACTTTTCAAAAAATATATTTAAACAAAGTTATTTAATCTAATATTTGTTAAGTATTGAACTGATATTAAACTAGTATCAAAGTAATATTATTAAAAACCTTAGATTTGAAATAAGATTCCAAATTGATATTGAAATAATATCAATTTATAGTAAATTTAATATCTAAATTACAATACATTATATTAAATTTATAATAAATTCATATGGCAAAATATATTGTATTAGACTTTCTTTTCAATATTAGTCATATAGTTATTGTAGGCAAGCTAGCATTTAACTCATTGTATCAATATATGAGAGATGTTGTTTCTTTTATGATGTATACCTTGTTATATACTGTTACACTTGATCTTCGCCCAAGATCATCACTACCTCTTGTCCGATTTTCACTAGCATTTACCCTTGAAATGTTACCCATTCTAGAATAATTCTTGTATTACTATTTTTGTTA